ACAAAATCTTGATTACTAGTAAAAATACGTTTATGTTCCTTTAATCCTTTTGCCTTCAATTAAAAAAAAAAAAGATGGACTTTTTTAAGAAATACACGCGGACTATAAAAAGAAGCGAGTGTGATGTGAGTTGGCAAGGTGAAATCAATGCCAAAAATTAAGAGCTTAATAGCTAAGGAATCAACCTTAAAAGTAAAGCACATTTCACCTTACCCAAAAACCCAACGTCATATATCCACTTTGTAAATTCTGTACACATAATAAAAATAACAATAACAATAAATTTAATCAATCAAAAAATCAAAAAGCCGAGAAAGGTAGGCATACCGCATACATACAATCAATCAAAAAATGCCCTTTCCAAAAAAAAAAAAAAAATCAAAGACAAAATGAAAAATGGCAACACGGGTTGGGTTGTCATATATCCACTCTGCTGACATCACCAACTTTGCAAGTTGAGGTATGCATTTTCTCAGCTCTTCATAAAACTAAAACATGTCACTGTCGTATGCTGCATTACCAATCTATAAATAAAAAACGTCAGTTTATTATTATTTACATATACAAATAAAATAAGCAAAGTAAAAATGAAAATCGCAACGTACTGCAAAACAAACAAATTTACGAGTGCGTTTGTCCCCATCAGAACACCTATATATATATATATATATATATATATATATATATATATATATATATATATATATATATATATATATATATATATATATATATATATATATATATATATATATAAGAATGAATAATTTAAAATGAATCATTTTAGATGGAATACAAAGTTATTATCTTGAAACCCAACAGATAGGAAAATAAATTTCCCATAAAAGAAAAGAAAAAAAAAAAGTAAAAGCTTACATAAAAGAGTAGATCCCTCCAATCCATCTCTTTAAGCATTAGAAGTTAAGCTTTTTCATCGACACATCATAAACACCATCTGTGAATCGTTGGATGGTTTTTACCTTGGTTCATCAATCACCGATAGTTCCTTTTTGTGCATATATAAGAGCAGGGGGTGACGGTTCAGTGAGAGAATAAAGAATCAAAACCCTCAAATCACCCCAGTTCTCCGAAGCGAGTGCTATTTAGCACCTAACAACTCCAAATGTATGAAACCCATAAGAAATCCACATGTAAGTAAACCTATAAACTTGTTGAAATCTTTTTTTTCTTGACCAATCAATTGTGATTCTCGCCTTCAATTTCTATAGATTCCTCGTTGATGAGTGTAAACCGAAATGAGAAGAATTATAGACATGGAGTGAAAAGAAGGAAAGGTACATAAAATATTTGTTGATGTTGTTAAAACGATCTTTTCGAGCGGGTATTAAACCACACTAATAAATATCACATCAAAATATACCTTTATTTAACGGTGTGGTTATAAAACCGCACCAAAAGATAACAAAACCGCACCAACAGGCAATGAACCGCACCAAAAAACAATAAGCATCTTTCTTCACTTTCTCGATCAGAGTAACATCATCATGAACAATCGAAATGTTCTCAGCTCCACTTCCGCCAATTGATACTCCAAACTTTTCTTTCAAGGACATCATAATCTTAACTTGTTCAATGATATGTATTGAGTTATGATATAAATCGATGACTAGTGGTTTGAGTTTTGATTCGTTTCAAATTAAAACAAAACTTACACTGTAAAGAGAATCAACACCAAGATCCACGTTTGTGCTCTAATCAATCGATAAGACCGGAGGGTATGGAAGGGATGTTTCCCTCACTTTTTGTGGGCCATACTACCATTTCCCACACTTTCATTTCCCTCACCTAAAACCCAAGTAATAAGTGGGAAGCTTCCCTTACTATTTTTTTTTTTTTAAATATATTTCATACATATATTATACTTATTTTGTAGGAAATTAAAAACCATGAATTTTGATATATTTTTTATATTTTTTAGTAGTTATATAATTTTATAAATATTAAAAAATATTTAAAAAACTACCCAATAGCATGAAGAGAGAGAGTGTAGCACCCCTCCCCCACCTCTTTCCTGCGGGTTGCTTCCCTCACCCAAGTGATGGTGTTCCAGTGTGAGGAAAACTTCTCTCTCCCCTTTCCTGCTATGGTAGCATCCGGGCTAACCGGTTAGCAATGGTGGCATGAACTATTTTGAGTGTCTCAGGTTGAGCCTGTAAAAGATAACAATGATTATTACTTTTGAGTAACATATGATAAACACACTCAAATAAATAAAATTTAAGTTTTGTTAGATGTTAATCTTACAATGAAGCATGAAATCGTGGTCTTCAAGCAGTGAGAAAGTGGTGATGATATTACGCTGCCTTTAAGATCATAAATCTTTGTCTGACCTGCAATAATAAAAAGATACAACACAAACAAGTTTTAGAACAGGTGGAATTCATAAAGATTTAAACTGAATAGCACATGGAAACATGTTACAAAGATCATAGATTCTAGACGTGAAGAAGAAGGTTTCTATTTGAGATGGAGGAATGTGGGAGAAGAAATAAGTGGGAGGGAAACAAAAACTTAAATGAAATAGATGGAAGGGATCTCTAAAAATTTAGAGGATCTTACGCCTAACGAAAAATTTGAATGAAATAATATATTTATTGGTGTGTAAAAACCACAAAATATATATATATATATATATATATATATATATATATATATATATATATATATATATATATATATATATTAGTACGGTTTAGGAAAACCACATCAAAAAATGTATATATATATATATATATATATATATATATATATATATATATATATATATATATATATTAGTACGGTTTAGGAAAACCACATCAAAAAATGCATTGATTATTAGTATGGTTTTGGAAAACGGCATAAAAAAAATACATTTGTTAGTGTAATTTCAAAAAACCGCATCAAAAAATACATTTATTAGTACGATTTTGGAAACTCGCATAAAAAATGCATTTATTATTAGTGTGTTTTGGAAAACAACATTAAAAAATACATTTATTAGTGCGATTTTGGAATACCGCATCAAAAAATGTGGTTGTTAGTATGGTTCCTTGATTTATTGATGTGAAAGTGTTTTAGTGGTACGGTTTTAAGCTATACCGTACCAACAAATAAACTTCATCGCACAAAAAAATACGTTTTGTACTAGTGTCTCGTCATATGTCGCTCAAAATCTTTACCAATCAAATAACATGCAGCACATTTATAAAAGAAATAAGGGAAAATGCCTTAAAAGACCAATTAAGTTTCAAAAACGTTCATATTACCCCAATTACGTTTTTGTTGTTCAAAAAAAACCAACGACCTTATGTTTTTTATTATAAATCCAAATAAAGTTACGAATATAAATAACATTTTTTAATGGTGACCGGCATGTTGCAGGTAAACGATGAGTTGGCATATGTGTTGTTGAGTTGGCATATGGTTGGCTACGTGGCATTTGTGTTAGATAGATATAGGGCATAATGGGGGATACGACTCCTTAATCAATCGACTTCTTCAATCGACTTCTTCAACATGGCTTCGGGGGATACGACTCCTTAATCAATCGACTTCTTCAATCGACTTCTTCAACATGGCTTCTTCGTCTCGATCCTCCAACTCATGGTCAAGATCAAAAATTTCCAAGTCAAAAAGCACAATTGATAAGGCACATCCTTGTGATTGTGGGTTTCCTTCTCGCATCTGGATATCAACAACAAAGGCAAATCCTGGTAAAAAATTTAGGGTTTGCCCTAACTCTTTGGTAAGTATATATCTAAAAGCTTGTTCTTGTTTGGGTCCCTTTTTGTTTTTCATGCTACAATATTGTTTGTTTATGTTATAATTGAAGATGAAGGATCCAAAGGATAAATGTGATTTCTGGGAATGGGTTGATGATGATGAAGAAATTATAACCAAGAACGAGAATAAGAAAGATGAAGAACATGATTTCAATACTGAAGTGAAGATTGCAATATTGGAACATGATTTCAGTGAGTATAAGATGAAGACTGATAAGGAATGTAAGAGTTTTAGAAAGGAATTGGATAAAATGAAATGTTTAGTGTTAATGTTTGTTGTTTTGTTTGTAGTGAAGTACATGATTTAGTGTTAAGTTTATTATGTAAGGAAAATGTACTTTGAAATTATCAGGATATGTATATTCAAAGTGGTTGCACTGTACTCATGTAAAATGGTTACGAAGTGGGAATGAAAAGAAGGTATTTGTGAAGACTGATACACATAGAAGGTGTTTATGAAGGCTAATAGTCCATAAAAGTAACATACTTTTTATTGATTGATAATAGGAAGGGCAAAATAGTCCATAAAACCTGTGCACTTTATCAAATGATAATAACAGGGACAAAATAGTCCATAAAACATGTGTTTGACATTATGCATGTAATTTGTGTTGTAAATGATTTTTAAACACAAGGGCAGTTTTATTGAAAACACACATAATAGCAACATACTTTTTATTGATTGAAAATAGCAAGGGCAAAATAGTCCATAATAAGATTACACTTTATCAAATGATAATATGAAGGGCAAAATAGTCCATAAAACCTGTGTTTGCCATTATGCATGTAATTTGTGTTGTAAATGGTTTTTAAACACAAGGGCAATTTTATTGACAAAATAGTCCCACAAAACAGTTTTTACCAATTTTAACATAGTTTTAACAAATAGGGGCAAAATGGTACATTGTTATAATATGCATAAAAGGTAATAAACTACATATGAAAGCATAATTAAACCACATAATCAAGCATGTGCACATGGCACTAAATGTTGGTAAATGTGCACAACACCAAAAGATAAGCCTAAGCATCAAAAAGACAAGCCTAAGCACAAAAAGATGTGCACTAAGCACCAAAAGATGTGCCATTTCAAAGTATCTGACATAATCCTAATAGAACACACTTATCCTAGTTTATAGTACTGGATGTTCAGTACTTTCCCCACTTCCATCTTTTGTTACCACCTTCTTCCTTAACTTCAGTTTCGTGATCCTCTCAGAAGGTAATCGCCTTTTGTTCGCAACAAAATGCTGAAAAAAAAACAGGTTGATGCTGATGGTGATGATTTTCTTGATGGTCAATCTCATCCTCTTGTTGTTCAATTTCATCCTCCTGGTGGTCTTCAATATCGCCTTCTTCAACAGCCTCTTCTTCACCAATTCCAACTTCACTAACCCCATCTTCATTGATCCTATCTTCATTGACCCCATCTTCACTAATCCCATCTTGACTAATCCCTTCTTCAACATCCCCTTCACTAATCCCTTCTTCAACATCCCCTTCACTAACAGTTGCTTTATTTGCTGCATTGTTAAAACAAAAATAATAATTATTATACAAATGTAGATGAATGAATAATCAAAATAAAAACGAACCTTCTTTGAGCAATGGACATCGCCTCTTGTTGTGTCCTTCTTGATGACAATTACTACATCTTGAGATGGACATACCTGTCTTGTTAATTTTATGCTTTCCTTCATTTTCTGTAGGACATTTCATTCTGTTTACTTTGGGCCTTCCTGGCATTCTCCTACGCCGAGGTGGTAATATGGGATCAAATAGAACATCAGGCCACATGCTAGCTCCATTTATTGGTTTGACTGGATACCTATAGCAACTTCCAAACATGCTTGTTTTAAACCATACGGCTACATAGTCCTCTGCATTTCCATTCAGGTATAATATAGCAGCAATGGCATGCACACAAGGGATACCACTGAGTTGCCAGGCTCTGCAGCCACAAGTTTTGCTTTCAAGGTGAACAGCATAAACTTCATGGGCTAATTTCACTTCATATTCTTCCTCGCCACTTGGAATAACATCCCAGTACCTGAAATCATATTAAGAAGGTAAGTTATTTCATATTAAATCACTTACAATTAAATAATATACCTTTGTTCTTCTTTCATCTTCTCAATCCTCTTTTTAATAGAGGGGCAGATTTCCATGTCCCACTTATGCCCCTTAATCTTTTGATTGTACATCCTCTCCATCACGTACAATCTGATTTCTTCCAGCATTGTTATTATTGGTTTCTTCCGGGCCTCTACAATTGCTGCATTGAAAGATTCAGATATACCGTTTTCCACCGCATCACAACAAGTCTGAGGTTCAAAGAATGCTCTGCACCATGTATTTGGGTCTCTTTCTATCAGGTGCTCATAAGCTTCTGTGGACATTGTACGAATTTCCCTCATGTATGATCGGAAATTGGAATCGGTTGTAGCCTTTGCAGCACTCCAAAATAACCTCCTAAACTCAACACCCGTGAACCCCTTCTTCTTAAAGTTGGCATAGATGTGTCGGGCACAATTCCTATGCTCACATGATGGTGCCCTTTCCTTAACAGCCTCCATTAAACCCTACAAGGTGATAACAAATTTCAGTTTTAAAGTACATAATAACACATAATAAAGTAAGTAAAATGTAAACTATAACATACCTTGTGTTGGTCTGAAATAATTGTAAGACCCCTACCATCTCCCATCTCAATGTCCTCAAGTAGATGATCAATGAACCACATCCAAGTTTCCTTGTTTTCAACTGGCACAACAGCCCATGCTAGAGGATACATTTGGTTGTTTGCGTCCCTACCAACGGCTGTTAACAACTCACCTCTACAAATACCCTTCAAAAAACAGCCATCAACACCGATAACCCTTCTACATCCTTCAATCCAGCCATCCTTGATAGACTTCAGGCAAATATACATCCTTTTGAAGTAGTGTGTAGCATCAGGCGTATGATTTGTCTCGATCAAGACTGTTGACCCAGGATTAACCCTCAATAACTCAGCACCATAATTCCACAGTTTCTCATAATGGCTTACCAAATTGCCTGAAATCTCATCTAGTGCAAAGTACTTGGCATTTCTACACTGCCCAAGACTTACCTTGAGACCATAGTCTTTCCTAACCACTTCTGCCATTTTCCTATAGCTAAACTTAGGCCTTTCCAAAATGTCAGGTATTAACATTTTTCCAATCCACTTATACGTAACAATACAACCCAATTTTTGTTGTCTAGCACAATTATGTTTATCAATTAGTGACTTGATCTGGAATGAATTTTCCTTGTTCATGGGACTAGCCCATAGTCTAAAAGGGCAAGATGGCTTCCCTTTTTCATTTTTACTGCACCTTACTAACAATGCTTTTGCCTCATTTTTTTCATACCACAATGAATAACCCTTAGACACAGCATAATTTGTTAACATATGTTTCAGTTCATCTCGATCAGAGAATTTCATACCTAACTCAGGCATCATAGTGTCCCATTTTTGGTTTGGATCGTGAATAGGATGTTTTTTTACCTTACCACCAGCTTCTTCCTCTATGCCTCTTTGTGGAATAAGGTTCTTCTGTGACAAAAAAGGATCAACAACTTCAGGCAAATTGAATGTCCTCATCATCAGCTTCATGGTCCACCGATAGATCATCCGATAATACCGAGTCCACATCATCTTCATATGTTTCAGTACCACTATCCCATTCTTCAGCTTTTTCTTCTTCAATCCAATCTAGTAAGGGTTCATGATGGTCATCAATGTAGATACTTATTTGATTATCATCATCATCAAACCCAGCATCAACGAACCTAACATAATCATCTTCATCCCTGAGCTCCCTTAACCCATCTACGAGGGGGCCGATTTTTAAGACAGTAATACATATCCCGACATCTATTGTTGATCAATTTTTGGAGATAGGTCTTGAACTTCTTGAAATCCATGTTACGTACATCTAGCCCCATAACAGGTACTTTATCAGGATGAAAGTAAACCAAGGGATTAGGAGAAAAAACACCTTGATGGTAGACATCAATGTTGAGTGAGTCACGAGACACGCTGGCTGCACGAGACATCAATGTTGAGTGAGTCACGAGACACGTTTGCTGCTGAGAACCCTTGCTGCACAATCGACTAACTTTCCTTCACCTTCTGTAAAAATCAATTTCACTTACACGAGTTCACCGTTCCATTATGTAAGAACCCTAGATATCGATAACTTTCCTTCACTGAGAACCTTGATGGTGAATCGATATCTTGTGGCTATTATGTGGCACTTATGTTTGATGTAATGTGGTTTAATAATCCACGTCAGATTATCACCGGTAAACATTCGAACGTAACCCACAAATGCCGGTCACCATTAAAAAATGTTATTTATATTCGTAACTTTATTTGGATTTATAATAAAAAACATAAGTTCGTTGGTTTTTTTTGAACAACAAAAACGTAATTGGGGTAATATGAACGTTTTTGAAACTTAATTGGTCTTTTAAGGCATTTTCCCAAGAAATAATCCATTGCCGAGAGATCCAGTTGTTGACAAAATTTTCAAAGGAAGAACTACCGACTTGGAAGTCATTATAACTATAAGTTTCTGATTATATGCGTTTTTCTCAAGGAAAGCTGGATAAAAAGGAAGGTGGAGAGGAATATAATTTAAATTTTAAAAGCCCTAAAATTACGATGTTGATTTTATGGTCGAATTATGTTTCATGATTCAGTAAATTGCACGAATGGTCCTTATGGTTAGGGCAGTTTGTGTGTTTAGTTCCTAACTTATTTTTTTAACTTGGAATATCCCTATTGTTTGTTTTTGTTACGTGTTTGGTTCCTGCCTTACCTAAAAAGACTATTTTTCCTTTGATTTTTTAATTTATCTAAATAAACACTCCCCCAAGCTCATCCCTCTAATCTTACATTGTCTACCCCACCATTTTTTTCATATTCAAATAATAGTTTTTTAGGTAAGACATGGACCAATAGCGTTACAAAAACAAATAGTCTGGACCAAACGCATAACAAAAATAAACAATAGAGATCTTCCGAGTTAAAAAAATAAGTTAGATATTAAGCATGCAAATTACCCCAAGACATAGGGACCAATCGTGTAATTTACTCTTCATGATTTAATGGAATTCTAATCAAGTTTGATTTTTTTTTTGGTTGCAGATTATGTTTATGATTTCATGCAATGAGAGTATAAAAAAATTGAAGATGCAGATTACACAATTACACAAAATGATTAAGTAGGGAGATATGGAAATGAAGATGGAAATGGTTGTAGATAACCTAGGAAATGATGTATTGTATTTGGATTCCAATAGTATGGATAAAGCATGCTTGTGGCATTGTCATCTTAGACATGTTAACAAGAAACGCATAGCCCAACTCCAAAAGGATGGAGTGTTGGAGTCATTTAACCTTAGGGACGATGACATGTGCAAGTCTTGTTTACTTGGAAAGATGACCAAGTCACCCTTCACTGGCACTTGTGAAAGGGGTGAAGGTCTATTGGATCTCATACACACCGATGTGTGTGGGCCCTTTAGATCCACCACAAGGGACGCGAACCGCTTCTATGTGACTTTCACTAACGTTATAGTAGATATGGGTATATCTATTTAATTAAGCACAAGTCAAAAACCTTTGAAAAGTTCAAGGAGTTTAAACAAGAAGTGGAGAATCAATTGGGCAAGAAAATCAAGATGCTTCGATCCGATCGAGGAGGAGAGTACCTAAGTCTTGACTTCCACGACTGCCTCAAGGAATGCAGAATAGTTTCGCAATTGACGCCACCTAGGACACCGCAGTTGAACGGTGTGGCTGAGAGGTGTAATCGAACCCTATTGGACATGGTTCGTTCCATGATGAGTCGTGCATCGCTACCTGTCTCACTATGGGGGTATGCCTAAGAGGTTGTCGCCCATATCCTTAACTTAGTCCCCACAAAGAAGGTTTCCAAAACACCTCACGAGATGTGGACAGGCAAAACTCCCTCGTTGGCACATATCAAGGTTTGGGGTCGCGAGGATTTCGTAAGACGAGAGACTCACGACAAGCTCAATCCTCATAGTGAGCGGTGTATTTTCATCGGCTACACGCATAAATCCTTTGGATATCTCTTCTATAGACCGAGTGATAATGTTGTCTTCATTGCGAGGAGAGGGGATTTCCGCGAGCGAGAACTCATAATCCAAGGGGATAGTGGGAGGCAAATTGATCTTGAAGATATTGAAGAGTCGAGCGATGAAGGAACCTCTAACGTTGGCGCTCAACCCGAAGAGGAAACTCCGGTTGAACCGATGGACGAATCCTTACCTCTTAGACGTTCTGAAAGAGTTAGAGTTCAACCCCAGTTATATGGCTTTCATATTACTACAGAAGGGACACGTATATTAGTGATGGTACACTAATAAATCTAGATGAACCTAACAACTATAAGGAAGCCATGGCGGCCCGGAGTCTGCGAAATGGAAAGAGGCAATGGATAGTGAGATTCAGTCCATGTACGATAACCAAGTTTGGAATTTGGTTGACCATGTGCCCGGACGTAAGACGGTTGGGTGCAAGTGGATCTTCAAGAAGAAGACCAAGATGGATGGGAATGTTCACATGTATAAGGCGCGATTGGTTGCGAAGGGCTTTACTCAAACTCCCGGAGTTGACTATGATGAGACCTTTTCACCAGTTGCCAAAATAAAGTCTATTAGGGTGATGCTAGCCATTGTTGCATTTCATGATTATGAAATATGGCAAATGGATGTTAAAACCACTTTCCTTAATGGGAAGTTGGCTGAGGATGTTTACATGGCTCAGCTAGAGGGTTTTTTCAATACGAAGTATCCCAATAGAGTGTCCAAGCTTGAGAAGTCCATTTATGGACTTAAGCAAGCATCTCGCAGATGGAATCTTTGCTTTGATGAGAAAGTCAAAGACTTTGGGTTTGTACGAAGCGAAGATGAATCATGTGTATATGTCAAAGCCAGTGGGAGTATAGTTAGCTTCCTCGTATTGTATGTCGATGACATACTACTCATAGGAAATGACATCCCGACATTGCAGGAAGTTAAGTACTGGCTCGGGAAGTGCTTCCCTATGAAGGACCTCGGAGAGGTTTCCTATATTTTGGGAATAAGGATAGTGAGAGACCGAAGTAAGAGACTAATAGCACTTAGTCATAATACTCACTTGGAGAAGGTACTAAAACGTTTTAGTATGGAAAACTCAAAGAAAGGAGAATTACCAATCCAAAGTAATGCCAAGTTGAGTAAGACTCAAAGTCTGAGTACCGAAGCCGAGATAGAAGAGATGAGTCTAGTACCTTACACTTCTACAGTTGGCTCGATCATGTATGCTATGACTTGTACTCGCCCTGATGTGGCCTTCGCTTTGAGCATGGTCAGTAGATATCAAGGGAACCCTGGCAAAGCACATTGGACCGCAGTCAAGAATATTCTTAAGTACCTTTGGAGGACAAAGGAATGGTTTCTAGTCCTTGGAGGGAGTGATGACTTAAAGGTGCGAGGGTATAGTGACGTCAGTTTGCAGACCGACAGGGACAACTACCGTTCGCAGTCGGGCTGGGTGTTTACCCTTAATGGAGGAGCAGTGACTTGGAAAAGTTCCAAGCAAGAAACCGTCGCTGATTCAACGTGCGAATCAGAGTACATTGTAGCGAGCAAAGCGTCAAAGGAGGCAATATGGTTGAAGAACTTCATTGGAGACCTTGGAGTTGTACCTTCAATAAAAGATCCTATGGAAATTTTCTGTGATAATGAAGGAGTGGTTGCCTTGACCAAAGAACCAAGGGATCAACAGAAAAAGGACTCCTCGTAGTAAAGAGGGTATCGTCATAGGATAACCCAGTAGATCCGCTTACGATGGGATTGAGTAGGGTTAAGCACTTGCAGCACGCTAGGAGCATTGGGATGAAGGATGATATTAGTTTAAATTAGATAGTTTAGAAATGTGTAATAGATAAATGAAATTGATATTTGATGATTAAATAAAGAAATATTATTTATAAGTAAAGTTATTGTCTTATGTTAATTGTTTAACTATTGTTTCACTTTGCATGTTTTGACTTCATGAATATTTGAGTTAATTAAGAATAATCGAATTATTCAAACGGTCCACAATCGTTCATATGTTGGAAGTAGGTATGAATGAAGACTGTCATGAATTGGTGTGTAGATTTTCTGAAAGGTATTAGACATAGCAAAGGTTTGCTACAACGTTCATGAGTGCTTATGAACAAGTTTTGAGCATTGGAATAAACCTGCGCTTGCTGAAATCACTTCATGGAATTTATCACGAGTGATCGCAAGACGATAATATCATATGGTCTTAAAACCAAGATATATGGTTTATTGCTTGCGAAAACGCAATTGTTGTGCATTCATAATGCGAAAACGCATCAGTAACTTGATGTCATAAAACGCATTGTTGTGTATAATTTGATTAGTGAATAGTAAATGCATATAAGTCGAAGTTTATTTGTTCCTTTTATCCTAAGAGGGTAAAAGCGATATCAGGGCCCATCGATGATTTGATTTGACTTATGTGTCGGGCCCGGTCAGGACTGAATTGATGTGTTCAATTAAGTTCTATGTCAAATGAATCTAAGATCGAGAAACAAACCGCTGGACCATACGTATGACTATGTTCCATGTGATTGTCCGTACGATATCTAAAACAGAGGACCGTCTGATCCCTTATCTAAAGGACAGGTTGCTGATAAGATCAGAGTTTGACAACGTCTTTGAGAGCTACGATTGCTAATCGAGTTATGCTTGCATTTATGCTTATTAGACTTATCCAAGTGGGAGACTGTTGGATTAGTGTCTAAGCTCGTAACTATGTTTGGTAAGTACTTGATCCGGTTGTGCATGGTCCTTTTGGGTTGCCCTCACCAAAGCAATTTGACTGGAGAAATAATAGAGAAAGAGGTTATTATGATTTATTAATATATTATAAGAATAATATATTAAAAGAGAAATCATATTTGTTTAATTAATATTGGTCAATAATTAATTAATATTTAATTCTGTGATCAAAAGTAATTAATTAAACTAGAGGGGTTGAATTGTAATTATGTGATAGTTGCAAATTAGGGCAAAGGATGCCCTATGGATAGGGTGGACGAATTCAAGGGGATAAGGCCCTAAAATTCGTCCAAGGATAAAGCTTCTAGACTTATCTTATGGGCTGTTTAGTAGGCAAGCAACCAAATGAGGATAAGGACTAAAACCCTAATCTCTACCCTATTTAATTACCCCTTGGCTAAGGGATATCGGCCACTTGATCCCTAGTAGACCTAGAGCCAATTTTCTGCCTCTCCCCCCCCCCTCTCTCTCTCTCTTGCCTCTCCATTTGCTTTTGGTGTTTGTGAGTCATTAGAGGTACTACATTTGTGGTACTTGCTTTCAAAGACAAGAAGATTGAAGATTTGAGTTGTCCTTACAATATAACAACAAGAGGTATGTAATCCCTTCTACTATCTAGATTTCGAAATACCTAGGAGCATGCTAGGGCTCTTCTTGTGTTCATAATGTTGTGTATCTAATAGTGAAAACATAGATCCAAATCTAGGGTTGCATGCACACATAGGATTGTTTGTATAAAAATCTAGGAAGTAAAGTGTTTTAATTTGTTTAGAATTTCGCACTGATTGAAAACTATGATATTTCTCATAGAATAGATGTATAAAAATCCAAGTCATTATAATTATCGAGGATGAATATGATCTTGACACACCAAATAAAGTTGTAAGAGAAATATCACCGATAAATATCAAAATGACGATAGAGATCATTTATTAGAAATTTATTCATATACATAAATATGTATTGGTTTTGTTAATAAATTTGTAATTAACCCTAATTCATTATATATGAAAAAATTACTTTTTTTTTTCAATTGTCGAATAATATAATTTATAAAGTTATTGTAATGAAAAAAATATAGATTATATATTTATTAATAGCTAATTCGTTAAAGATGGGTTTTATACAAGTTATAAGAATAAAATATAAAATGAAATATAAAAAATATATTTTTAGGTAAAAAATGAAATAGAATAAGAAATTAAACACTATTTTCTTATAATTATACTCTATTTTGCTTAAAATAGATATAAGTCAAGACTAAGATAATTTTCCCTAATAAATAAAGAACTTTTTGTCATATGTCACCCTCCCATTGATTTGACTACATGTCATTTTGTGGTTATTTTCAATTAGTTTTTTTTTTCATATGACATTTTATGTTTTTTTTTTCATTTTATTAATTTCCACATAATATTTAAATGTAATAAATACAATAAATTTAATAATAAATACATATTAATTTCATTAATTGATTTTTTTTTTAATTTCAATTTTTCAAAATTAAAGTTTCATTAGTTTCTTTTGTTTATTTATCTAAATTATTTGTTTAATTTAAAAGAAAAACAAACAATTTAACTTTAATAATTAATATTTTTCAATTTTTTTATAAATTTAAACTTCTCGTATGTTTAGAATTTTATATTTTTTTTCTTTAAAATAAACTCATATAATACATTGGTCTTACACCTACTAATACAATATATGACTACTTTTGCACTTTGACTCTCTTATAAATCCTTGGCCTATTTGGGCCAATCCCACAATGATGAATAGTTTTCATTTAAATCTCTTTGATCCATATAAATATTATAGAAACAGAATCATCAAACGTGGCTGTTGGTAGTCTTCTTCACCGGTCATTACCTTGAAGACCCCATTAATTCCGGCAATCATCTCCTTTATCTAATTTTACTTTTTCTAGCACATTCCTCCAATACGTAAACAACCAATAATTAATACATTATCCTTTTAAAAATGACGTAAAAAATGGAATTATAAATTGATATAGAAACCTTTGACCATATAGAAACCTTTAACCATATTTTTTGTAAGTAATGTGACCGAAGGCTGTTTCGAATAACGAGTCAGAAATTATAGGTATCTTTGTTTTTCCAACTTTGAAGTAATGATGTAATTCCTCCAAACATTACTATATATAATAAAGAAAAGCACCAGCATGTTTAGCGATGGATGAATCTGTTGATAAACAATATACCGCCCACGAGATAGATTTTTTGGTTAATTTTGTTAATTTATCGTCACTAATACGTCCCAAATTAACCAAAAATATATGTCGTGGGTGTTATATATTTTTTTAGTCCATCGCTAAACATACCTGTGCTTTTCTTTATTATAGTAATGTTTGTAGAAATTACACCATTACTTAAAAGTAGGAAAAAGAAAGATACAAATACAAATATATAGTAGATCATTCAAATTACATAGGATAACAACAATTTCATTCCGTTTTCACTTGTTTGCTTTCTTGATCAGTACTGACTTCTGTACCAGTAGATACCTTTGTTCTTCTCATCACCCTCATCCGGCTCAACAAACAGACAGTTCTTGGATTCTCTCCATAACGCCATGAAAAATGGAGTGCTATCTTTTTGATAAAACTCTCCCACAATTGGCCTGATCGCTTTGGTGGCTTCCATGGCATGATAATGAGGAATGTAAGAGAACAAATGGTGTACGACATGTGTGTCAGTAACGTTATGGAACACCTTGTTTAGAATTCCGTAATCCCTATCCATTGTTGAGAAAGCACCATTCATCCAGTTCCATTGAGAGTCGTCGTAGCGGGGCAAAGACGGGTGAGTGTGTTGAAGGTATGTGATGGTAACAAGAAACGCGTTCATGACCATCAACGCACCTCCGTAGACACAAAAAACATTAGCGAACCCTGCAAATGTCGCCATTTTATACAGCAACCAAGAAAAGCTGACAAGTCCGATGTCAGTGATGAGGATCAGGACTCGCTCGTTATCAGAGAAAATAGGGCTTCTTGGATCATAGTGGCTTGCGAATTTATCATAAGGTCTTCCGGCAGCATTGATGGACAAGTAGATATACCATCCGAGACTGAGTTTGACAGCAAGGGTTAACGTTCGACCTATTGGATTGTCGAGGTAAAACGCCGAAGAACCGAGTTTTGATTTTGTCTTTGGGACATATACTTCGTCACGGTCAAAAGAACCAGTATTAGAATGGTGACGACGGTGGCTTATTTTCCAAGAAAAGTAAGGCGTTAGAAGGCATGAGTGTATAACAAACCCTATACAATCGTCGACCCATACATAGTCACTGAAGGCATGGTGACCACATTCATGACCAATAACCCAAATTCCGATGAACACACAACCTTGAACGAACCAGTAAACCGGCCATGCAAGGTAAGGAAGAGGGTGAGGGAGCAGTGGAATATAAGTTGTGGCGAGGTAGTACAAGATCCAGACTAGGGTGAGGTCATACACAATATATGAAAAGGATCGAATCAAAGATCTTTCGAAACAGTGAGGAGGTATGGCTTTCTTGATATCTGCTAATGTAAAGGGAGGTTTCGTGGTTGGGGCTCGTTTGCTACTTTGTGTTTCAGATTTCTTAACATCTAGATCACTAGGATATGAACGACCATTACCAACCATGTTTCTTAAGAAATAGCTCTGGATATATATCACGGTATGCAATTAGCAGAGATGCATGAGCTTATATATATATATATATATATATATATATATATATATATATATATATATATATATATATATATATATATAATGCACGTATTTTTGTGTAACATATCGAATCTTGGTCTGAAACGAAAATTCGAGGACTCAATGGATCGACTGTGTGGTAATTTGGTATTGAATTTTTTAAATTAAATTGAAAATGGACAGCGGGTTGGCTTCTGAAGCTACGGTGGGGATAAGGGTGTGGTGTTTAATTTAACAAAACAAGTTTGTCTCATTGGATTAGTTGCGCGTCTCTCTTGTTTTTTTCCACCTAACTAATATACCCATTATTTTATTTTATTTATCTATATATTTTTTTTTAGTTCCAAGTGAGGCTTGATTTTCTCAGTCTTTGGTTTAGGATATTTTATTTTTCAACGGGCAACATGCTCTTTTGTTGAGAATATTTTATTTTCAATGGGGATTGCCCACTAGAAAAAAGAATATACGCGATTCACTTTAAATCTTAAAAAAATTAATAAATTTTTAATTACAATTTCATTCAATAATCATTCAACTCTACACTTTCTCTCCTCTATATGATATTCATATGTATTCTATTAAACCCTCGTACACTTTCATTGTGGAAGACTTATAAAGAGAACTGTTTTATAATACCAAATTCTACAAGATTGAATTTTCGGTTTAAAATTAGTAGAATTTTAGGAAGTCACTTCTAATTCACATTATAGATTAGAATATATATTTTTTGCGGTGAAAACTTGATAGTGATTTAGGAACCTTCAAAACCGTCCTTTCTACACTGCATCAATATTGGAATATTTAAAAACAAACGAAAATAAACGGGACAATTATTATATTGGACAAATTACACGAATGGTCCCTATGATTTGGGGTGATTTGCGCGTTTGGTCCCTAACTTATTTTTCTAACTCGGATCGTCCCTACTGTTTGTTTTTGTTTCCCGGTTGGTCCCTATCTAACCTAAAAGACTATTATGCCCTCGTTAATTTTTTTAATAAAATTTATTATGTTTTATTTATTTATATTATTAAATAAACAAAACCTAACGTTATCCCACCCACAACCCTCCTCTTTCACCTTTTTCATCTCCTTCTCATTTTCCACTTCATGTATCTCTGTATCTCTTCCCCTTGCAAATCCAGATCGATGATGCTTTCTTGTTCTTTCCAATGGCCGACGACCATCTGTTATCACTACTCCTCTGTCGTCGTTGCTACAACCTACAAAAGGGACACCGGCCGCCGCTACTACAGACCGGAAAAGAGACCCTAGCGATCTTTCATATCCTTTCAACTAGATCATCAACGACATGCAGGTCCATCTTTGTCGACGCTCCCACTGCCGCCCAATGCTCGACATCTTCACCCCTCAACCTCTGTTCCAAATTCAGACCATCCTTTCTCTCTCAAATAACATCGATACCAAAACCCAAAAAAACAATCTGAAAAATCAAACTGCACAATCACCAATTCAAGGATTTGTCATCTAAAATCAAAGATTCAAGGTAACAATCTCCTTTTCTTCCAAACTTCGGTCGACTCTCTCTCACTGCTAGCATCAGGTTTTTTTCTTGAAAATTTCTATGGTCACTGGCATTGATTTACCATCTAAAATTGATTCTCAGGGGAGATTGGGATAAGAGTTGTAGATCCAAGAGATCAGGACTGAGTTGCACATCCATGAAATCGGGTTAGATTTCATGGAAATTTCATATATTGGGAATGGATTTGATTCAGGTTTTTTATTACATTTATCAAGAAGAAAACCAAAATTTCTGATTTCGTTGATGATGGTTTCACGAGCTTCATCAGATTTGATTACAGAGGTTTAAGATTTGGTTGTATCTTTGATTAAATTGTATTTGATTTGATTTGATTGTATTTGGTGGCGGTTTACCCGAAGAAGACGTAGTTGTCGAATGGAAATTATCGAGCAAAAAGTAATCACATGGAAGAAGCGCATGAGGGGTGATTTTGGTAAAGGAATAAACAGGATGGGATCATTAGATATTAATAATTATATAAGTAATTATGTAAAATAAATAAATTATAAAAAAAATCAGTAAGGGCAAAATAGTCTTTTAATGTTAGAAAGGGACCGCGCGGGAAACAAAAACAAACAGTAGGGACGGTCCGAGTTAGAAAACTAAGTTAGGGATCAAGCGCGCAAATTACCCAAACCACAGGGACCATTCGTGTAATTTGTCCTATTATATTTTAAACAAAACATTCCTTTCTACACTGCATCAATATTGGAATATTTAAAAACAAACGAAAATAAACGGGACAATTATTATACTTTAAACAAAACATTTTAGATATGTCACTTGCTAAATCAAAAAATTATGAACAATAGATGAAAAAACAGTGGCTTAATATACTTTCTTTTCAGTGGCTTAATATACTTTTTTTTTCATGTTCTAGAATTGAGTGGTAAATTAATATCATTAACGACAAATTATATACACGCTTACATTTGACAAAATGATAGCTCCAGTTACTAAAATTAGTAACATTTGAGAAAATGATAGATCCTCTTACTAAAATTAGATCGACAACAATATAATTTTTTTTTTCATTTTGGTCTCCGTAGTTTTCAAATACAAATAAATAATCCATGTGTGAGAAACAACTTAATTAAATAGTCCATGTTTTAACTTTTTTCTTTCTAGAATTCAGAACCATGACAGCCACACAGAACTTCCCTTTTAAAAAAATCTTTAATTTCATTATAATTTTTAATTTTTTTTTTTGGAACGGCAAATCTATTTTATTCATAAACTATTATCCAAAATCCATCTATATTACTTGTTGGGTGCAAAGTTCTTTATTTATGTATGATTTTGTAGATGGTTTGACTTTTGTAGACCCACTTGCATGTGGTGCATTAACCTTATGATTAATGAGTATTAGAGAGTGAGAGAGAAACATGTAAACACGTTTATATAAGGTGGGTTCATACCACTTGTAGATGTGTGCTTGAGAGATGTAGTCATAGTGATTAGTGGGTGAGATATTTACGAAGTTCTAGACTATATCCCTTTTTGTACTCATTTATTATGATCGAATATATCTTTTAGCACCCAAATCACCATGTTCAATTGTGCAAACATTAATTCCGCATATCAAACCATGTTCTTATTTAACTACAATTGGTATCAGAGCGGGTCTTCAAGATCAAAGTGATTTTTGAAAAACGATTCTCGGTTTGACAATTTTTGTCGCAATTTGAGCATTTTTGGTAAGTCTCTCTCTATGATCTCTCGTAATATTTGATTCGTGATTTGCATTTTTCATTTTTGATTGATTTGTCTCATTGGATCAAATCCGTTTCAACCCCATTGATTGATCCGATTATTTTTGTTTAAGATCAAAATCATAATCAAACTCATTTTTTTTTTAATTTTGAGTACTGTTCATTCATTCGGCCCATTTGTTTTTTTTTTTTTTTTAATTCAATTTGAAGCCAATTCTAATAATTCGTTACTATTCACAACTTAATTGAGCCCAAAATATCATATAAGATCCGATTGTTGTTCCTTTTTGTGTGTGAATCCACAAATGTTTTCATTCGATCGATTTGTCAATAGTTGTTCACATTTTGACTTGTACACCAGCTTTGTCTGTTTGTACAATTGCATATGTTCTTCATCGATTCTTCATCTGAGCATCATATAATCAAATTTGTTTTGGACTATCGATTTTTTGAGTAGTGTTTAATAATGGATGTCGAATGAAGGATTCGTTATTGTGTTGTGTGTCGATGAATCATTCCGATGGTCAAAGATAAAAAGTCAAAATCGGAAATTGATTTGTTTCGTATACTGAAAACATATTTTGGAAATGGAATCAATTGTAATCGGATGTGTTCATTGTTCAATCGAGTCAAGGTTTGATTTGGAATTGAGATTCGATTGCTGGAATGGTTTGATTTTAGACTTGGATGAAAGTCGACGTCTTTGAAATTGACGATTCATGGTTCCTGATTGGAAGTCGATTGAGTCGATACTTGCTGATTCTAATCGAAGTACTGATGTCGATTTGGAATGTGTTGGGAAGAAGAAACCGATTGCAAGTGAAGTCGATAGATTGATGAATAGGTTTGATAGTCAAAGAAAAATGGAAAAAGTCAAAATTGAACATTTGGAATCGTTATTGATGGTACTTAATTGAGTTTCGAAGAAAATTTTCAGATGGTTGATGTTGATCTGTAATCTAATTTTGAAAGTTATGCATTTGACTTTGAAGAATTGGTGATATTGGATTCGAAAATTGAACAGATGGTTTTGAAAGAGAATGAGTTTGACAGTCGAATGATTTGGATGCCTAATTGATACTTGATGTCTTTTGCAAAGGTGATTTGGATTTCGAAAGATTGGAGTCTGGGTTTGAATTTTGATTTCGTTTGTTGAAAGCAGTGCTTGTTGCAAACGAAGACCTGGTGATATAGTTTTGAAGGAATGTTAATTGTTGATGTGCGAATGGTTTTTGTATTTTAGATAAGTTTGGTTTTTGGTGTGTGATGAAGGGTTAAACTAACAAAAATTTTGGTGCTGACAATTCGTATGAAGGGTGTTGTGTAGTCTCATACGAAGGGTGTGTGATTTCGTATGAATTGAGGAAGAAGAAAGAAATGTTACGAAAATGACCCCTAAACTTTTAATAGTTTAACACCTTTTGCAACTCTTCGTATGATTGGAATTTCGTATGATTGGAAGAAAGTGCAGAAGTTTCGTATGTTTTGGAAAAGAAACCAAAAGTTACAATTATTACCCCTGAAATTTTGACTGTTTGGGACCTTTTCAAAATCACATTTTCATATGATTTGAACAAATAACAAAAAATTTTGAATTCAACCCCTGTACCTTCGAATATTTGACACTTTGAAAATTAACTCAAGTTTCGAATGTTTGATACTTTTCACACAATTTCGAAAATTTTTGAAGCTTCGTATGTGTGGGGTGATTCTTCATATGATTTGAGCACAAATGACATATTTGTTGAAAATAGTCCCTGCTGTTTCAAATGTTTGGCAGTTCGTACCCAAATTCAAAAAAGACTGTTTTTGCTGAAATTTGAAGAGAGTGCATTTCAGGCCCCTACAGTTTGTGCAAATTGACGCTTTCTACCCAGCTTTGGAAAAGGGGGAGAGTTTTGCATATTTTGCTGTTTTAGGCGCAACAGGTCATTGCAGAATTTTGAAATTGACAATTTTTACCCATTTTGAGAAATTTTGTTAAAGGCGATCCGTAAACGAAGCTAAAAATTGAATGTTTTTTGGATTTTCCGGATTGAAGCACAAAGTTTATGCCACATGTTAAGGGGGAGTTTTGACACGAAAAATTCCGAATAGAGTATGTTCTTTTTCTTTGGAGTTTTACAATCAAATTTCGATTATAAAAAGAGGGAGAAGTTTATATGGAAATTCGAACTTAAATTTTTGATATTACGCGAATTTGAAGACCGAAGAGATCTTGAAGTTTTGAAGCTTACAAAATGATGCAATTGGAAGTTCGGAAATGATTTATTTTCGAAATAGGTTTGGAATTATTGAAGATTTTTGGGGTGTGTCTTTACGCTCAACTTTTGGGTGATCGATTTGGAGTTTGAGAAGCTCGTGATCATTTGTTGATGCTCGGATTGTATGGTCTCACACCCTAGAGCCTAAATTGAAGAATCATGGAAGAATTGAATATTGAAGTTCATTTCAACATGTGTCACCTTTGAGGCTCAAACAACGTAGTTGCTTATTTTTGGTGGGTAAATCACTTTACCAAATTCAATCACAATGAAACTCCTAGATCTTTTTAGATTCATTGAATAATCAATGGCGTGTTAATCTTGAATTATGCTTTTCAAATTGTGACTGAGATATAGAGGATCACAAATAATATGTGAATAACCATGCAAACTTGTGTGACACCCTTGATATTGTTTATGATCTCACATTAATGTGTCGGTTAACCACACACGCTTCATCAAAAATCATAAATTTCAAGTGTATACCACCATTTCAACTTTGTAGTCCCACATTAGTATGTCGGTTAGCCACATACGCTCCATTAATGATCTACAAAGAAATAATGTGCGTTTTCATGGATTAGCATACAATTTCATATTTTTTCTAAAGTAACTAGATTGAGATTTTTATAGAATGTTCTAGTACTTCTACATTATACTTTTAATGTATTTAGAGTCCTATCAAACCCTTTCAGTTAACAACCCTCCACCACATAAGGAAGCGGTGGGTGAAAAGGACACCCATTAAACGATAATTTTGTAGGTTGTTTCCTTATACCTTACTTATAGTGTGACTTCGTGAATGATGCATACTCTTGGTTTGACTGACTTTATGTTATACATATAATAATATAACTCTTACGTATATATGTAGGGTGTGTTTTAAAACCTTTCAAAAGTACAAAGTTTAAATTTAATTATCTTAATTAACTTTTAGACCATTTACATTTAATATTTATATTTTAATTAAACAATTAATTAATTTTGTATTAAATCTTTTAAATGATAATTTCATTACCTAATTATCTTATAATTGGATAATTACCTTTTTATAACTTCCTCAATTTTCAAATATGAATTTCTTAAATATCTAGTTTTAATATTCAAATTTTAACAATTTAAAATAATATTAAGTGACCAATAATTATCCTACAATTTGAAAAAGGCAAGTAAATCTCAAATCTAATTTCCAGGAGATTGCTACGATGTGGCAGAGGACTGACCACGTTGTTGGTTTAACAAATTATCGATTTTTAGGTTTTTGATTTCCAGTTTCATAACATACACTTATAACTGAAAAGCCTTCACTCTGATACCACTGATGAGTTTTCTAGATTACAACATAAATATTTGTACATCAGATTTACTCATAAACTTTTATGGGCACATGCAACCTAGAACTGTATGACATTTTCGCTATTACAACAACATACTTTATGAAACAACATTTACCTACTAAGATAAAAAAAAAAAATTACAAGGATTAGAATCATACATTTAGTATATTCAAATATACCAACTCTCGGGTTATTCAAATGCTCCATGGAAAGCTAACATCTGATAATGTGAATGTCTCTAATGATTCACACTAATAACCCTAGAACACTGGAACTTGAAAAATAGAGGTGAAAAAAGTGAAGTTCGTATTTTACAATCTAGGTATGATAAATCATAAAATTTTGATGCAAGGGTCCTAATTATAGTTTAGGTAGCTTGTAGATAAATCCAATTTTGAACAATTAAATATTAGATTTAATCATCAGTTCAAATCATTTTCTTATTAGATACCAGGAGGATTCCAGAAACCCTAGAAGCTCCTTTAAAATCGTCCGCAACAAGATAGGTTATAGAATTGCTTCTTTTGTTCAACTATTGAACAATTACAAATCACACATTGCACTTTTAATTAATTACAGTTAATCCCGAGTTAATTTCAGATTAATTCTTATTAATAAACTAATCAATTCCAACTATTTGTCTATTTCTAATTAATTCAAAATTAACTTTTAATTATTTTCAATTAATATATTAATCATATAATATATATTAATCAATTCTAGTTATTTTTGGTTATGAGGGCAACTCAAAAAGGACTTTAATTTTTTTCATTAAAATTATACCAATTTAATTAAGAACTTAAACACCTTAATCCAACAGATCCGTTCACCAAAACTCAACAAAAAAGGCCAACACTCTCTCGAGCACACACCAAGGGCTAGGGTTTCTCTTCTGGAAGGGTGGATACTGAAATGAGACGAAACCCTAATTAACACATCGCTTAAATATGGTCCAAGGCCCGGGATCTAGGGTTTAGTGCCCAGCCGCCACCGTGCCAATGTACATACCTTATCGCGTCGCCAGTTAAATGGTATGGCCGCAACGTGATACCCTAACTAACGCGTCAGCGACAGAGAAGAGGGAGAATGGAGTGAGGAGTGGTTGACGACATAGCAAGAGGAAGAAAGAAAATGTTTTTTTTTCTTTTTTCTTTTTTTTTTTTATTATTTTTAGGGCGAGGGTATCTGCAATATATTTTTTTTATTCAGTTCCCATTTCTTATTGAACACAATTTTTTTTTGTCATATTTAGGATTAAGATTTAAGAGGGTAAAAATGTGTCAACCAAATTCCTGACTAAAGTTCCTCCATCTTCTATTCAATTCAACAAATTATTGAATCACCCGCCTATTAACCTAGCCTCCTCCTCTGACCGCCCTACTCCTACACCGTCGACCATCGGTGCCATCCCCCCTCTGCTCTATGCCGTAATTGAAGCCAGGTAATATTCTGCCTCATTATTCCGATTCAATGGTTGCTTCTCGATTGGTATGTAGGATGTTATGCTGTTTTGGGGTTCTGCGATTAGGTTTTTGCTACTACTTCTATGGTGTGTTTTGCTTCACTACGCCGATTTTTCGTTTTTGTTTATGTGTGTTTATACTTGATATACCTAGAAGGAGGCATTAGTTTGCAATCGGTGCTACATTGGTTCAGGGCTAACGTTTTATAGTTGCGTTTACAAATTTTAAAACCCTATGTTTGTTCAGATCAAAGTTACTTTGATTACGATTCTCTTCCTAACTTAAGAGCTAGATATATGCACATTTGTTTAAATTTTAAATTGCAGCAGTCTTCGAAGGCACTCATGTCAAACATCTAAACTTCATAAATTAACAATCTCTATTTCGTATTTGTCTCGTTGATTTACTTACTTTCTCCATTTTTTTCTATTTTGTAAGTGGCGTTCGGATTGTTTTGCTCAAGAATTCTGTCTTTTGTATTTGATGCAGCTGTGAACTGGATTCTTGACTGTTGATCCAAACATGAGGAACTGTCATACTGAAGATCACACCAGGAGGAAAATGAGAAAAATGTTTGATATTAGAAGTTCTGAATTTAATTCTAGTAAAAAACAGTGTAAAAAAGTGACAAATGCCCCCAAATTTGGGGATGAAGTGGATCCTGACTATTCATGGCTTCTTAATTTCTTGAATGAAAATATTGAACAGACAAAACCCCCAATGGAGGATATCATCAGAGATGAAGATGAAGATGAAGATGACAATGAACATGAAGATGAAGATGAAGACAATGATGATGAAAAGTATAAAGATCCTCAATATTGCATGTTTTTGAAGCAACTCACAGAAAATGGCAAATCATATAAGCTTAAAATCTCAAAAGACAATGAAACTCCTTGTTTTCTAGAATACGAACAACCTTATGACCCTTCAACTGATATGAATATTACCTTTTGCAATACTATAATGAAAGATATGCAAATCGATCATAGGAGTAAAAGGAGCCCAAATGGAAAAAAGAGGAAGATTTTGATGAAAAAAGAAGCTTCATCAAAAATCAAGACAGAACCCCTGAATAATTTGGGTGTGGATTCTTGCTACCAGTTGTTTCTTAAAGGCTACATACCTTCTGAATATGGTGCGTTTGTTTATGAAGGAAAACAGGTGAATTATGAAGAGAAAGTTACTAATTCAAATTCAGATTCAGATACAGATACAGATTCTGATATGATGATTTGGGATAAAGTTCGGGATTTGAGTGAAGCAAACAAGAAACAACTAGTACCAACAAAAAAAGAACCATCTGTATGTAATAAATTTACATTTTTGGTCCCCGGGTATAGCTGATTTTTTTCAATTTTGGTCCCAAAAGCATTGTCATTTTACTTGGAACAGGGGTTAAAAAAAAAAAAAAAAACGTTACCAAAACCTCAAATAAGGACCAAAGTTGAAAAAAAAAAATCAGCAATACTTAGGGACCAAGTTATTCGATCTTTGGTGTATGCAAAAAGACATGAATGCCCTTCCGATCCTCATCATGGATATTTTTATTTATTTTTTCAGTTAAAGGAGAAGTTGATGCGTATTCTTAAGAAGCCATATAATCAAAAAGAGTATGAAGAACTTTCAGAATACATAGAGGAAAAAAAGCCAATATGTCGTCTTTTACCCTTGCGTGACAGGGCAATATCATCTGCTCTTGTTGGAGTCACAAAATCCGTGCTTGATGATGGCCCGTGTATGTCTCATTTTTTTTTATAAATGACTGAAATACCCTTTCTCTCTTTTCATTTGATTATATTTAATTTATTTTTTTTGCATTAATTTAATGACGCAGCAACTTTTCGAAGGAAACTTAAAGCTGTGAAGAATGATCGACCTCGAGCTCTTAATCTCTTGCGAATGTTTCGCTTCTGGTTAGAAGTAAGTATAATTATGTTCATTTGTTTATTATTACTTATAAGTTATAACATCTTACTTTGATTTCTTTATAAATCTACCAAATTTACCTTAATAAGAAAAAAGATTGAAGTTACTTTCATTTCTTTCATATAACCTGTAAATCTATACTTTATGTGTACAGCATCTTCCAAATGAAAAGATTTTCAAACCATGGTTACGTGAGGAGTTTATGGAAGTGTTGCCATCCAGCCGTAAAGGATCACACCTGGATAAATGATTTTTTTTTTTTTTTTTTTTGTTATTATAAACTTTTTTTTTGGTCATAAATGAAAGCGGCAAATGTAAAAGGTGGTTAAATGTCGGGTTTTTGGTAGTTAAATGTCGTTTTTAGGTGGAAGTAAATGAATGCATCCCTGATGAAATGTATTTTTGAGATGTTTGCTGAAAAATGCACCAAGGGTCTCACGATGTTATTATGTTTTTACAATGTTTGTGTATATAGTTTGATTGGTCATGCCACGTGTGTGGCCTTGTTACTGGTTTTTGTTTTTTTAACCAGATTTTGTAAATTACAAATTGGATTTTGTTTTTCTTTTAAATAAAAATCAAATTAAACTAAAAACAACCAGTAGGGATCTTCCGAATTAAAAAAGTAAGTTAGGGATCAAACGTGCAAATTACCCCAAATCATAGGGACCATTCGTGTAATTTACTCTAGAATAATATTAAAATAATAAAATTTAGTTTTTTTAAAGTAAAACATTTTTTTAATCTTGAAAATAAGTTGATTATAAATAATAGAGTAAATTACTGAAATCGTCTCTGTGGTTTGGTTAAAATTGCATATTTGGTCCTTAACTTTTATTTTGCATTCGGATCGTCTATGTGGTTTGATTTTGTTGCATTTTTCATCCCTGTGGTTTGGTTAAAATTGCATGTTTGGTCCCTAACTTAATGTATGTAAGGGACAAAAAAACGCAATAAAATCAAACCACAGGGACGAAAAATACAACAAAATCAAACCACAGAGACGATCCAAGTGCAAAAGAAAAGTTAGGGACCAAACGTGCAATTTTAACCAAACCTTAAGGATGTTTTCAGTAATTTACTCTAAATAATAATATATACCAATAAAACATTGTCTGTCACTTTCTTGAGACCCTGTGTCTCATTTTTTTTTGAGGGTTTCGAAAACGGGCAAGATTGTTTCGTTGGTTTACTTTTCCATAACACCCTAATTCTGAAGCTAGGATTAATTGGGTTGTGTGGTTACAAAACGCAATCATGTCTTAATTTGTTTTTGTTGCTAGCTTCCTGCTAGTTTTATTTCGTTTTGTTTTGTTTTGTGTTTAATATATTCGGATGCTGTTTAAAAAAAAAAAATTAAGTTTGTTTAGAAAAAACCAATAAAAAAGAAATGGTTGGGTTGTATATATGTTGATAAAAAAGGTGAAATAAAAGAAATGAATTTTATTTGTTAAACAATGTGATGGGCAGGTTTTTTTTCTAGGACACCTGACAAGTTGTAGATCCATTTGTATGTGTGTTTCATGATCATATTTGATTCATGTAAAGAAATTTTGTGAACTTTATATGATGGTGTATGATTTATGCAATATTTAGTTATACTTGATGAATCTTTTTATTCACAAAAATAAAAATATTTAAACATATATTTAACTCATTAGTCCCCGATATGAGCAGAATGAATAAACAATTCTATTATTAAGAAAAAGATTGTGATTTAATTGAAATTCTAAAAAAATTTGTCAATAAACTTATATAAATTAAAAAAAAAAAAAAAAAAAAAAAAAAAAGGTGCTGTTATAGTTTTTGCTCAATTCCTTGAAAAAAAAATCACATTTCTTCAGGAGATTTTTTTTTAACAATCTAATAAACCACTCCAGTTTTTTTAGTTTTTTATTTTTTATTATTTTTTTTTTCCAGCGCTTCATATATATACAACCAGCTTTGGAAAAAAATTATGAGCAGTTAATGAAAAAAATGCAAATTAAAAAAAAAAATCATTTGAGAGTATGCATTTAGAACTTTTATACGTAGTATTAAAAGCTTTTGAGTTATGTTTTTATGTTTTATGTAAATTTATACATTTTAAAAGCTTTGTTTATTTTTTTTAAATAAATCTACATCACTAAAAGTTAACATTTTCAACTACCCGTTATATTTGCCTTACATACCTTTATTGTATCCCTTAAGATATAAATTTAACGTCGAAAGTACAAAAAAAGAAAGGCATCTCATTATGAGTCCTTGCTCATTATATCTTTTGGTCGTGACTTGTGATGTTAATGTAATAATGTCCAGAATCACATTCTTTGATTATTTATGCTCCTTTCCTTTTTCATCATTATTTACTTTATCAATCCTAATTATTGGCGTACGAATCATATTATAAATACCTTTTGATATATTTTAAATGGTTACATATATATTTACACAATACTGTTTTAGTTCCTTTTTTTTCCAGTTAATGATTTCTTATATGAAACAAGACATTTCAGGACCAAAAGATAATATTTTACCCGTAACATGTTGAATCATGATCACATAAAATTGGTTATTTAAAAATAACAAAAAAATATTAAACGAGTTATTTTCTAGTAAAAACCATACAAAAACCAACGAATAAATAATAACAATTAAGATATTCTTATTTTAATTTTATTAGAAAGCATGATTCCATTTTTACACTTGAAATTTGATCTCACAAAAAAGAGACCATCCTAATACACTTAATTAATCCCAGTCAACACAACACCCAAAAAAAGAAAAAAAAAAAAAAAGTTAAAAGAAATTTACACACACAAAGAGCACCTTCTGTCAGTCAAAACTGGATGACCTACTCCACCTGCCACGTAGATAATCCTCTAAAGACACACTTTCCTCGACACTACTCATTGAAAGAGAGGAATCCTCTACATCAAGCAACGCAAGGTTAAGATGTGACCTCAAATTCGATTGAGAAAATCCTTCCTCTTCCAATACTTGTAATCTCGCATCCGACCCACCCGTCGAATCCACCTCCAACCGGGCCCACGCCATCACCTCAACGTCCCCACCAAGTAGTTTCACCACCTGTGTTGTGTTAATTAATACAGAAAGAACAACTTAATACATACAGATATACTTTACATTGCCTATATTAGTTGATAACTAACCGTGGTCATATGGGGTCGAGCCCGTGGTGCACGCCTGATGCACAAAGTTGAAGCTAGAGCCATCCTCTCCATTTCATCAGCATCATATTTATTTCCTAACCTTTGGTCTAATAACTGAAGAAATTTCCCACTACTCAAAATTGGCTTCGCCTGCACAAATTCATCTGTCTTTTAGCACTGACACTGATACTGACACTGACAGACTGACAAATATGAACGTACCCACATAACCAAGCTCTCTTGGCCTTTTGGGTATCCACTGTTTATTGGTTTTCTTCCGGAAAGAAGCTCAAGAAGAACAACTCCGAATGCGTACACATCAATTTTATCGGTTACTTTTCCATACATGAAATATTCGGGGGCTAAATAACTGCACCATCAAAACAGTGGCATTTCTGTAAATTTGGCTATAAAAAAAATAAATAGAAGAAGAATTGAAGTTGATAAAGTTACAATTTACAAACCCGAAAGTTCCTGCGACATCTGTGCAAGTTATATGAGATGAGGTGGTTGAACCCCATTTCGCAAGCCCAAAATCGGAGAGCTGAAACAACAAAAATTGTTCACAAAATATAAAAATTGAAAATTAAGGAGATAAATGATTAATAGATAATAAATCACCTGTGGTTCAAAATCATCAGAGAGTAAAATGTTTGATGATTTAACATCCCTATGGATTACAGTTTGATCACAGTTGCTGTGTAGATAAACAAGTGCTTCAGCTACACCTAGAGCAACTTTATACCTTTCAGACCATCCAAATGCCGGATCTTTCTTGTTGCCTAAAAGATAATATTATGAAATAAGAAAAAACAAAATTCATAATTACATGTGTATGAGAATTGTTGAATGTAAATGAGCATACTGTGTAGATTGTCTTCAAGACTTCCTCTTGAGAGAAAATCATAAACTAAGAGGAGATTGTTGTCTTCAAAGCAAAACCCAAAAAGGGAAATGATATTTTGATGATGTAGAGCAGTAATAATCTCAATCTCTAACACGAATTCTTTCAAGACATCTTCAGATGATTTCAAGATTTTAACAGCTATTTCCTTCCCATCTGGAAGACATCCTTTGTAAACCTTACTATTCCCTCCTTTTCCTATCATGTTCTCTGAAAAGATTTAAGAAAACAGTAAATCAGCAATGAAAATCCACATAATAACATTTTCAAGATAACAAATAGAACACAAACCGGGTTTGAAGTTTGATGTTGCTGATAGAAGCTCTCGATACTGAAACAATCTACAAGTGGCTGAGTATTTTTCATGGAGACCCTCTAATTCTTTTGGTAAACGAATTGAATCATGATCTGGAGAAGAAGATAGATCAGATTGAAATTCATCACCACCTACACAAACAATTGCTCCATTTTCTGGAATTCCGTCTTTTTGATCATCATTTTGGGAATCTGAGTTTGTGATTTGAAAGCAATGTCTAGTGGGAAGCCTCATAGCCCACTGAACCACAGAGATCTGGTGGACACGGGATTTATCAGATGAAATGGCTCGTTGAAGGAGTGGCCAACCAGGTTGGAGTTCAGGCAACTCTCTTAGTAACAAAGAAGTTGAACTTGATGAAGCTTCTAGCTTCTGTACAGGTACTAGAGCCATGGAGTTATCTTCTTCATCATCACCATTACCACAAGTAACCTCATCAACTGGAAGAATGGAAGCCACTGAACAAATCGGACAATTATCTTTGAATGCAATTGGTGTGCACTCAGATTCAGATTTTACCAAAGCTAGATCCAGTTTCTTGCAATCACTTTGACTGCATTTTACTTCATCTCCATTGTTTAGTAATGTTGGATTCAAGCTCAACGATCTCTGAATCAAACTGAGTATTTGATTCTTATTGTGATCTGAACTCCCTATAGTGTAACGGAATCGATATCAAATGCGTTGTTTTTCTTCAAATTGAACACAAACGGTACGGAGAAAGGTTGGATTGATTACCTTTTGCACAAGATGTAGATGATAGGGATTGCCTATGGAACACGATTTTTCCGCTATTGACGGCAATTATAGAACAGTTTTTTGGTAGTTTTTTAGCACAGTATTTTGCTACGGAGGATGATGATCTAATTGTATGATGAGCTCGAGCTGTTCCAACGATAATCTCATTCGCATTATATGATTTAGCTTCCCGAACGAGAATTTTTCGAATTGAAGTACCTCTGCAGATCTTTAACTTAAGATCCACCTGCAAATCGAGAAAATTCAGATGAAGTGAGGAAGAATTTTCGATATTGATTCATTCATAATAAAATTGAACACGATAATTATTTCAGTTGAAAGAATTCAGAAACCTACCTGTTTGAGGTTACAAAATCCTTCGTATACAGCGAGAATGGAGTCAAACGAGTTTACAAGAGATAGCAACGACGATTTTCCTTCACGATCCAGAATTTCTTCACACAAAACAGAAAGTCAGAAACACATTCAGCTAATTGACAAAATAACAACAAAATTGAAGTCAGTAATCCTACCATTGTTGGTGAGAACATGAAGAGCGACAACACGGTCACCAGGTTGAGCTTGTTTGACTAAAGCCCAAGTGAGCAACTCTCTACTCTGTGAGTCTAGCTTAACTCCAACCACAACTGTCCGACCTCCGGCCACACTCCGGTCCCTGTACTCTCCGGCAAGCTCCGTTTGACTCATCTTAGGAAGAAGTTCACTGTTGTTGACTAGAGATTTGGAGGAAAATGTAGCAGCAAACATTGGGTTATCATGGGGAAATGTAGCTGAAGAAAAGCGTGACTGGTTGGGTCCCCGTGGAGGAGATGAACAGTGAATTAACCGTTGCCGTTCTCTTTGCCTTTATTAGGTTTGCCTTTCATGCTTTCCGGCTGTGCACAAAGAGGGGGACCCCAACCTCACTCACAAGTCACAAAGCACTACAAGCTTTTTTATTTGTCTTATTATTCAATTTGGAACACTGTATATAAATCTAAAATATATATTTTTATATTAATGGCTGATAATATAAAAGTGATAGTAGTTAAAAAAAATATGAACTGGCATTTTTAAGGTTTTTCTAAATAGCCAAGAAAATGATCGACTAAAGAACCTTAATTTTTGTAGGACATATTTGTGAAATCACAGACCTTGCAAATATTATTATTTAAAAGAAAACAAAACCACATCATTTTGTTGCCATTAAGGCATTCCGGTATGCCGAGCATGAGGCTCATCGTGGTCAATGTGGCTACGAACAACCGTACACACGTGTGCACCCGACCCTCTGTGGTTGCTCGTTATCGTGAAAGATTGTGATACCCCCATATTTGACCACCACTTCTTCTCTGCCTTCTTTCTCATTCTATGTCTTTTTTCTAGTTTTGACCATAATCTTCTCTTGTGCATACCATTCAGGTTGTAAGGGGAAAAGTTGTGGTGGTGACGTGGAGGTGGAAGAAGGTTGTGGTCATGAAGATAATTACACATGGCCTAATTGTAAAAACTATATTTTATGGGGTATGATCACTACCAAACCTTTAGAAAGTGTTGTCACTTATATGTAATATCATTTCCATTACATGTTTACTATCAAACCACTAGCTCTTGAAAATTATTACAACTCCACCATTTTATATTAGATTAAATAAAAACATAATTTAAAACATAAATAAATATTTTACATTAATTAAAAACTCATCACATTACTTAAAAAAACATAGAAATTTAAAATCTAAATTACTAAAAAAACCATAGAAAATACTACTCGTCTTCATCATCATTGGTCTCGTTTTCATCGTCAGCGTCCTGATCCTCCTCATCGTCATTGTTATTTTGTCATTCAAATTGTATTTGTCATATGTGTTCAATCAAATCATGACTTAGATTGTGATTTGTTTCACTGTTTTGTATTTCTAAAAGCATTGTGAAGTATGTTGGGATGTTGACTTGTATCACTGCAGGTAGATTAAGTGTATCGTTCGGACTATACATACAAATAGTCTTACCCTCTTATTCCATTATCATGTTATGATATGAGTCTTCAAAAGAGCCAAGAACACTCTAAGGGGCTAGGGCTTTCAAAATGGAGATGTTAGAGGCTGAAAAGGATGCCCTAAATTGAAGTTAAGGTGAATATATGGAGAAACCCCTAAAAATCATGGGCTTGGGTTGCAGCATTCATCACGCGTCACACCCTTCATGTTACGTCGTAACGACCATCCGAAATACACGTTCTTCATTTTGTATGCCACGTCGTGACACTCTTCATGTTACATCGTGACATATGGTTTTCCTTAAAAAAATCATGTATTTTACTCTTATATACCATCCACTAATCCATTTTGGAAAACAAGTGTTACAGAAAGAGTTATGAAGGTTCAAAGTTTGATTATTTTTTTTATATTTTCACCAAATAGCTTACATTGGAGCTAAAAATGTTTGAATTTCTGAGTTCCAAATTTGGAATATCATATATACATGGATAGGTATTATTACAAAGAACACAATGAAAAAAAACTCATCTCAAAAGAACTTTACATGAAAAAAATTATAAATGTTCAAAATTTTGCATGCCATATTTGCGAAAATTCATGTAGATTTTCGCAGAATACATGGATTTTTGCGGATGTAACCTGCAAAAATTATGACTATTTTGTTAATATTCCATTTTCTTGGCTATTTTGTGGAGAAAAAAAAAACTATTTTCATTTTCTCTTAAAAAATCTATCCATGCTTTACTTTTATAAAATTCCATTGCGACCATTGAAGTTCTAATTTTTTTGGCCCAAAATTTTGTTTTATATATTCCATTTTCTTGGCTATAAGGGTCTTTTTTTTTTCTCCTAGCGTGGTAGGATATTTGAATCCTCTGGATTGGCTTTTAGCATGATGTTTTAGTAGGTTCGGTCTTGAGAAATCACATATTCTCAAAGTTTCAAGACGAATAAGAAAAAAATAATCCTTAAAAAATTAGGCCCTATACAATTACCATTTTCCTCTCCTAAACCTAGACTGGTAATCGATGCACAATGAATAACACACTGTTTTCTTCCTTCTATAAACATTAGGAATAACTAAATAGTTTTTCATCTTAAACATATATTTGAAAAAAATATACTACAAATGGAATTACAACATTATATTTGAGAAATAAATTCCGAAGTCAATATATATAATACGGCTTTTGGTGGATGGATTGGAGCGAGCACGGCCGGCGATCTTTATGGTGGGGCAATGAGGCTGGAAGCCACGTGTGTAGAGAGCCTTTGTCGTGCTCTAACATGCCACTTGTTTGGACGTCGTAGTTCTAGAGATCACGTGATTCAAACTCACACGTTGACTCTACCTCCTTTCTTAGTTCTTATCTTAGACTTTTTGCATTCAATGTGTTGTTCTAAATCTAATTAGGTGGGGATTATACTTTATAATAGGGATTGATTGTACTTGTATCGATTATAATTCTGATTGTAATTTTATGTTATGACGTGACAAAATTGATATTTCAGTTTAAGTATAACATTACTTATAGTTATTCATTAAAAAAAATGATTATAATAACTATTTTTCTTATTATTTGTCGAAATTTATCAGAAATACTCTCATTAGTACCAAAAAAAAAAAAAATCCCATGTGAGCTTTTATGATTATGTGGAAATCACCAGTGGGTCGGGGGAAATCGTAAAGCCTATATGCGATTTCTTAGGTAAAAATTATAAAATTCAATATATATATTTTTAAATATTCTACATGAATGAGGACCTGAAATCGCGACCTATTAGACGAAATTGCAACCTATAAATCACCACCTACGATTGTAATGGCTATTTAAGTCATTTGTTAATTTTTTTTTTGTCTATATCTTAAAAGATGATTTGAAAATTAAGCTATATTTGTTTTTTTAAATCATTAATAAATAAACATTTTACTCAAAAGAAAAAAAAAAGTATTGCAAGAGGGCTGGACATGTGATCGGGAGTGGAACCCCACTTAATATTCACTACATCATCAACTCCTGTCGGTTCCAACTCTTACTTTTCACGTGCATCTTCGCCTAGATATTTTTAGTTCTATACCATACGAGATTACGATCAATTCATGATGGAATAAATTAATAAAGTTTGAATATATTAAAAAAAAAAAAAAAAAAAAAAATTATGCAACATATCACCAAGTTTTATCATTTTATCAATTACAAATAACTTACAAATTGTGTAAAAATTATTGAAGGTATAAATCCATATGCAAGATGTATTCTCAACACAAAAGGTATGGTGGTCATTCGTAAGCTTTAAGACCAATGGATGTAGTCTCAACACAGGATGCGGTGGGCTTTTCTGGCATTACAATTGCAACGAGTGGTAAACACCGTCGGGTCATAAACTTGATGTGGCAAAAAAAAATAATAATAATAATAATAAATAAAAATAAATAAATGATGTCTAGTGGGAGGTTCCAAAGTGGGTTGTTTGTGAGTTGCACTCTGAAAATTACAGAACACCCATATAAATAATCATGTATGTTGTATCTAATAGATAAATAAGTTATTGTAAAAAAAAATCCCTACATTTTATTATATTTTTGATAAAGCCGTTTTTTGTTCTTAATGGAAAATGACCTAAAAACTGAGAAAACTTAGAATTTTAAGATTTTAGTCTGGTAAAAAAAGACTCATCTAGTTATAATTGTTTGAAAAAAGAGAAGTTTTTATATTAATGGCTTCTTGGAAAATAAAAATGAGTGAAGATTTGCACAAAAAAAAAAGAGAGAATACAGTAAAAAAAAATTATATTCGATCCTGATTATTTTGTATCATTTTGAGAAGATGCAATAAATTATTTTGTGTTGAAAGTGATAATAAAATAATATAATAATAATAATACAATAAGATAATATTCATTGTATTGTGTGGTCTAGAGATGGAAAAAATTAAGTGTGTTTATAATAAAAATACAATAAGATAATGCTCTAAGTTTTATTCAAATTATTTGGATTGATTAGACAAAAAAAAATGAAATAGTGCAATAAAATGACAATAAGAGTACAAAATAAGATTAAAATAACTTAAAAAGTCAAACAAGATTTCATTAAGATGGTTAAATAGGAATAAAATAAAATTATAAAAATTGTAAGTTTTTAAAATGGTTAATGTTATAAAATGAAGATATATACGTATTTGTTTTTTTATGTCACTTATCTTTTAATCGTATTCAACATGTTATTATTATTATTTTGGGTTGTTATTTTAATATTGTGATAGATTTCAAACGATACAAAATTATACATAACGTGTAGTGCGGTATTGTAACACCCAAAGTTTGGAAAGCCGAGAAAAGAATGAAAACCCCAATTCTATGGGGAGACTCGGCGAGTCCAAGGAGGGACTCGGCAAGTCCGAGCGGGATTCGGGTCGAGGTGTAAGCGACCGACTCGGCGAGTCAAGTCGCGAAACCACAAACCCTTCGAGTCAAGGCTCAGATTAGTGAGTTGAGTGGGGACTCAGTGAGTTGGTCAGGACAGAACTCGGGAATCAGTGAACTCGGCGAGTCAGTAGGCTGACTCGGCAAGTAGGGTCAACATGGAAGGTTGACTTTGGCCAGGACTTTGACTTTGTTCGGAGTTGAGTTAGTTGACTTTTAGAGGACTGTCAGGCTAAGTGTCGTTTTGTTATTGGTAGCTCGGAGAATTAGAGGAGCAACGTTTCAGACGGTGGTTGGTTAGCAGTCTGAGGGTTACCAGCAGAATTCAGCAGTTCAGGTGAGTTTCCTCCCAGTAGGAACGGGTCTAAGGCCACAATGTCGGCCCGTTCAGTTAGCAGTAGTCTCCGGACTTCGGTCCGATGCAGTAGTTAGTATGTTTGATGCCTTCGTGGCTCAGATAGGATTTATGTGTTATGTGTTATGTGTTATGTGTTATGTGTTCCGGGCTACGGCCCAATCCAGTATGCAGTAT